GCTACCCTTCTGTCGTGGTTTTAAACCAATAACTAAGAAAATTACTTATTTCTTGCTGTGAGATATGGATTAGAACAAGAGCAAAACATGCATAAAACTTAAAAGGGAAAAAAAAGAAAGTTTATTGACAAACTACAATAATAAGAACACCAGAATAAACTTCCAGAAAAACCTTTTCATCCCCTATCTACCCACTATTCCCTTGTTCACATGACAACAGAGACAAAAACTTTGGAACTTTGATGGTTAAAACAGTCCCAATTCTTGCTACAGTCTTTTCACCAGTCTTTGTAGAGAAACAGAAGTTTCTTCCTGTTAATTTATGGAATTTCTCACAAGAAAACTATTTTTGTTATAGTTTTCCACTGCCCTAATGTTAGCTGCTCAGAGCTGCTATTATTAGAGTTCACTCCTCCCATTTTCACATCACTCTGAAGTGTGTATGGGCCATGAGTCTACGGATGGGACTTTTAAGGATAAGTTATTCAAAGGCAAAAAGTCTTCTTCATCTGTTTCTGTGAGCTTCACTAGAAAACAGTTTTCTCATTGCCTCTCAAGGCTTCAAATCTCCCAGCACTTCACTATACCATAATTACTCTACTTTTTACTCAAATTTACACTTTGAACACTTTATAACTCCCTATATACTGTATCATGAATTAAAGGAGTTCTTTTCAGGACTTCATTGTCCATCTCCATAGTTTTAACAGAAAGATATTTCAGCTTAATTAAAGCATCTTCTTAATTCTCTACCTTTTCTGAAGCTTCTTTTCTTTCCTGTCACTGGTAGTTTATAAAGTCTCTTTTCATGTTGATCACTCTCTCTCTCTCTGGATAAAAAGATTAATCTGCAAGTCTCATCTGGGTAATGAAAGAGTTAAAATCTTGCCCAGGCTTTTGTAGATGGTTCGGTGATCTCTGCCGAACAGGAGCTGGAGCCATCTGCGATGGAAAGTTCTTCATAGCTGCTCTGGAGAGTGTGGTCACTGCTCCAGCTTGCTGCAGGTCCTGAGCCTCTCTCCTTCTTCACTGGGCAGTTTCTAGTGAATGTAGTTACAGCAAAACCTGCAGCCGAGCCAGAGATCGGCTCGGCCCAGCCCGGGCCCGGAGAAAACCTTCCCCAGGCCCCCCCATCTCCCGGCCGGGAGACGGGGCAGGCCCGGCCCCATCCCCGCCCGGCCGCATGGCCTGGGCAGGGACGGGAGGCCTGGAGCTCTGCTACCCTCCACAGCCAGAAAACAAAGAGAACCCAGAGAGCTCTGCTTTTACATTTTAAGGTAGGGTTCACAAGTTGATCCCACTTTTCAATGGCCTAAACTGCTGTCAATTCCCAGCAATGACCGATAATTGGTCAGGAGAAAAGACTCCAGGCAGTTCCCAGCAACTCCAACTCCCTTAAAGGTAAAGTAACTCCATGACACAGCTACATAAAGCTATCCCTCAATATTTGTTCAATATTTGACAGTTTAGCTGTTCCAACATACCTTAGGGATTTTTATTCTAATTTTGTGCTGTTAGCCTTTTATTTCTGACTTCGTATCCTCTGTGGTAATATTAGTAAAAAGCTTTCAGTTTTGGTGGGTATTTTTATTAAAAGAAAAGTAATTGTAATAATCAGAGCTTAGTTTTTCTTGCCTTTTTCTTCCAGATTATCCAAATGGCATTCGGCTCACGTCAGCTGTTCCAGGAGCAGATATCAAAGTACTTATAAATTTCAATGCACCAAATCCTCAGGACAGGAAGAAGTTTACAGATGATTTGAGGGAATCAATTGCAGAAGTTCAAGAAATGGAAAAGCACAGAATAGAGTGTAAGTACAAAGGTACATATAATAGAGCATTTTCCAGCTAATCAAAAGAAGAAAATTCTGAATATGTGTATAACACATTAGAACTCCTTAAAAGTTCAAAATAATGTGTGTTTTTCCATGACTTTGCCTCAAGAAAGAGGAAAAAGACAATAATGCATTAAGCCCCAGCTGAGTTCATTCATTGACTCCTATTTACTGCAGTGTAGCTGCAGTAGAATTTATCCTCGACAAGCTGCAAATAGCAATGGACAGAGGAGAACCAGGTCTGTGATTTGTAGCATAAATTCCAGTAAGAATTTAGGGATAATGTGGATAAGAGTAGAGCTGGATCTGTGATTTGTAGTATAAATTCCAGTAAGAATTTTAGGGATAATGTGGACAGGGAGAGATGGATCTGTGATTTGTGTCATAATTTGTATCATAATTTTGTATCAAGAATTTTAGGGGTAATTTACCTCACACTGAAATTCCCAATGATGGCCCTTCCAATAAGCTTCATTTAATTTTTCTTCATTTCTATGTTGCAATTCCTGTAGTCAATAAGGAAGCCATGGTCCAAAACAGTATGTTTTGCTGGTAGTTCCATGAATATCTAAACATGAAATTTTATCCCATTTTTCCAAAAGAGTCCCTGATCAACATCCAGCTGTTGGTTGAGGGGTGAAGCTCCTCTCTGGCATTCCCTACAGACACAGGAATGCTCTTGGTTGTTTTATCCCGACTAAAACCCTGAAAAATCCCCATGTGTGTTGCAGCCGAGTTGGAGAAGCAGAAGGGGGTTGTGCGTCCCAGCATGTCGCAATGCTCCAGCCTGAAGAAGGACGCTGGGAATGGGACCCTGCCCAGGGCGTGCCTGGATGACAGCTACGCCGGGGGTGAGGGGCTGAAGCGGAGCGCGCTCAGCTCCTCCCTGCGGGACCTGTCCGAAGCAGGTAAGCACTGCCTCTCCTTCCTGGCTCTCTGCATGCAAAGCTGCCTCCACCATGTCCACAAAGTCCAGCTCGCTCTGGGGCCCCAGAAATAGCAGTTGGAATCTCGCACTTCCAAATAGCTCCTTCCCCCACGCACCCCCACCCCTGGCTCGTGGTTAATTTCTGTTTGTTTTTTTTACCCTTGTTCGGTTGAGCGGCCACTGTTTGAAAGCATTTAAGCCGTTGTAGGTTGCTATAGAAACTTTTAAAGGACAGTGAAGACAGAGGAAAAACTGTAAGTTTTTAATAAAACAGAAATGATTGACTTGTGCTAGGAGTAATTCACTTAGTTTTCCTTTCTTTTTTTTTTTCATCTCCTTTGCTTTTTCCCCCTCATAGAGTAGGCCTAGAAGGAAAAGCCAGGAAAGCTCCTGGTCTCTGTGTAATGAGCACTCTGTGTATTTTGTGCTCAAGTGTACCTGTGTTACCACCTGGATGAATGAAATTGAGTGAAGCCCAACTAAATTCTGCCTAGAGCTGTGTAACTCAGTGTGTCCCTGATGCTCTTTTCTTGGTTAGTAACCCAGACACAGTTCCTAGTTCTTGCAAAAAGAGATTATTGTGAAGTACTCTTGACAATAGAACCAAAGAAGCCCCAGTGGACAAGAATGCTGATAACCCACAAAGCCACTGATGTGCCTTAAGTTTTATTAACTGATTAAGACTGGAAAGCAGTGGTGTTGTGATTTTTTTTAGCCAAAGTAAGCCAGGGGAAGTTGGGCGTGCTTTATTTGATGGTTTGCCTCACACCTGGCATAGCCATATAATCTTCCAGTGTTAAAGATTCCTGTCACTTATAAAAGCTATTATCTGAACACCATGTCCACTATTGAGAAAGTACTTCCAGGGACAGTAACAATTCTATTTTTTTAAATTATTTGCTCTTTAGTTCAAAGGCCGTGTTGCATACTTTGCTTTTTTCTTTCAATTGCAGTATTGATGTCCCGTGTAGTCACAATTTCAATATTCCGTGTATCTTTGGTAGTAGACACTACTTAGCTATTTCCTTTTTTTTCTTTTAAACCAAAGAAGAGATTTTAGCTATGCTGCAATAAATAAAATTGTTGTAAACTGAAATGATAGCCTGTGTTTTGTGGGTATATATATGTGCATGCAAATATGTAGAGAGTGAGCTCTTTCAATTCTTTTCTTCTCTGTTTAGGCTTTCATACTCACATTTCCATTAGAGACTTAGGCCCTTGATCCAAAATCAGGCTGAAGTTGAATATTGGTGCTTGCTTGGCTCCAGTGGATTTTAGATCAAGCCCTAGTCTCCACCACTCTTATCTCTCAGATGTGAAGATACTTCATAATCCTTGTCTGTTGTTTTGGTTTTATTTCATTAGCATGAGAACTACCATATTGTTAATATGTGAGTTCAGTGGGGTATTTGTACCTCTAAATGTGATTTCTGATTAATTTTTTCATTCCATCAGAATTATTCCATCATTCTTCTCTTTCAAACACTACCATGTATTTGAATTCATATTATGGGTTTAATTCAACAAACCAGCATTTGTAATCAAAAACACATTTCACAGGGCATGCCTACAGCTGGCGTGCTTATTACTGAAAATAACCTTTTTCCATGACAAAAAAGTAGAAATCACTCACAGTCTGCCGGGTTTATCAATGAGTTTGTTAAACCCAACTAAACTTAATTTTAACTTGAAATAGCTGAGAATTATGGAGAGCTTCTGTTTGGTCTTGTGCAGTGCAATTGACTTGAGAAATGACCTTCCTGTTATTTGCTTTGTTATTTGGTGGAGTGACTTCAGGGACATGATCCATATCTTTCCTGCCTTCTCTCAGGGAATAGCTTGCATGTGAGGCTAATTTTATTTTGAATGTGGGAGAGGTGATCTATAGAAAAGCAAAGAAATCTCTTTCAGTTAGGAAGATACTGCACCCCAGTGATTATCCCATATTAAATTGCTTCTCTAAAACAGGACTGAGTTAGGTTGCCTCAAATCCTTTTGTGGATTAACTACAAGGAGGGGGAACAGGAGTGTGTGGGTCTGTAGGAAAGTGGATTTTTAGAGAGATCCTTCCTACATTTAATCAGAAATAAATCTAACTAACATGAGAAAATGGCCTGGTTGCATATTTATGGATTATGGTATATGTCCCATGAATATTGCAAACCTAAAAGTTAACAGTGAAGAGAAATGTGACTGAACAGCATGTGGCTCCACACATACTTGACAGAACCATTTAGGAAAACAGTCCATTGCTGTGCCCCAAACATCCCAGTAAATGGAGGCTGGAGAAAGTGACTTTAGATTTCTCTCAGTGACGATTCAGAAGCTTCTGAGATCTGACAGATGCTGACACCCTAACTGATTCTGCCTCCTAAGCTGGAAATGCACAGAAAAACAGGATTTCTCCATCAGGAATCCTTTCCTCAGGGTGCTTCCATGCCTTTGCCTCAACTGTGGCCTAAGACCCTTTCCAGCTGTGGAAAGGGTGTGCTGAGGAGCTCTTCATTTTGAGAGATGCTGTTGTTCCTTGTGAATTGACAGGTTTTTCCATGGAATAAAAAACAGAATGTGGCATCCAAGTTTTCCAAGATATGAATATGTCAAAAATATTTAGAGTTTTATTTTTCTCTAAAGAGAAATGTATCAATTTTATTGCACATTCTTGAGCTATAGTCAAGGAAGAACTGAATTTATTTGTTCCCGACTTTGAAATTCTTAATTTATATGAAAATATTAGAAGCCAGATTAATTCTAATGCATCTAAAGCTAAGTTTTGTGAGTTTTCAGAAAGATTGGAAAAGTGTGATGTCCCTCACGGCCACTGTTCCACAGGAAGAAGTATTTGGTCACTAAAGCAGAACAGGAAGGTTGTGCTTCCTATTCTGTTTCTCTCCCACTTTTCTGGACTGATTTTAGGTTCTTTAATTTGAATTCTAACCACTTTGAGTTGCTGGGGGAGCCAGTGCTTTTACATTGAGTTTACAGTGGAATTCAAACTTTATTCCCACATTCCTAACCTGTAAGGTGTGAATAGTATTTACACACTGAACTGGTTTAAAAATTGCATTTTTCTTGTTTACCCCAGTATTCCACAACTGGCACAGCCAGGTAGTACTGCCCAAGCGAGGGTGGTACAGTGGCACCTGGGTTTGTCTAAAACAGCCACAGACCAAAAAAGATTACTTCAAAACCAAACCAAACCAAAAAGTATCTCCAGGATTAAAATAATTCTGTTGCAGTGTGAGATCTTAAGACTGCACGTGTTTCACACAGAAAACAAGATGAAAATATGAAGGTGACAAAGTGTCCTTTCCCCCTCAAAAGTGATGTCTCTAATGATTGGAGAGAGTAATTTAATTTAAAACTTTTATCCAAATCTTTTTCCCCAAGACACATGAAACCAGATCATAATACAGAGTTTAGCTATCAATTTTCTCACTGGCCCAGAAGATTTTCAAGAACTACAGAGCAGCAGTGAGAAATATTTTCATGTACTGAGCTGATCTGCAGCCTGAGCTGTGAGATCACCACACATCCTGTGATGTGTCCTGCATACAACTGTTCTGCAAGGTGCAATGGCTTTTATTAATAAAGCTCAATTTTCTTTTGGCATGGTTAAGTTTGTAAAAATCTTGTAATCATTTAATATTTCTACTATAAATTTGAAACATTCTTGTCCCCATATAATGCATGTTCATATATGGCACATACACTTGTGTAAATCAAAGATATTTCTAACAAGGAATATTCATATCTAACAAATAAGGTTAAATTAATTGAAATTTAATTTTATAAAATAAAGCTCACTCTAACAGCCTTAAAAATTTAAAAGCATAAAAAATTAAAGCATGATACAATATATAATTAAGCAAAACAAATCAGATTTCATAAAAACCACCTTCCTTTATACGACAGCTGCTAATTATCCTGCCCCAGTACATGCTTAGATGCAATTCTAGTTGAGAGTCACCATTTCCCTGAGATGCGTGTGACGGTTGGAGCTCTAGGGAGGCATTTCTGGAATGGGAAGCCATCCCAAAGACCAGGGAATGCTCTGGAATAAACATATTGGCAAGGGGAATGCTGCAGGGGATTTACTGAGTAACTTCCCTATCACACTGCATGTCAGCACTGAATTGGGTTCAGTTTGTGTTTAAGAAAATGAACAAAGCCTCTGTACAGTGATAGTGCTCATCTGAGGGAAATTACAGATATTTTAAGTAGGATTTTTCTGTTTGTTCTTGGCTTTGCAAATACTACTCTGCCCTGAAGTTATTCTGAGCAAAATTCCATCTGTCGCTCTCTGTCTGTATTTACTGTGTCCATGGTTATTTGATCAGACTGTGACTCCTGCCATATGCAAAAGGCATTGGATTGTCGTGTTTTCCTTCATTTTTGGCCACATTTAATGCCCTGTGTCAGCTCTGTCTTATTTGCAACCCTGACTGCTAATTTCCGAGGTGGCTGCCTCAGTGTGTTTGCATCAGCAAGCAAGAGTGATTGGAGTGTTAATCAGTACTAATCCTGTTATCAGAGCAGAAAAATATCAAAGCCTGACTAGGAGTCAAAATAAGGGATTATCAAACACAGTTTTTATTGGGGGGATCATAAGACAGTACAGCTCTGGTTTGGCTGAGGCTAAAACTGCAGGAGATGAAGCAGTGAGCTTTTGAAAGAGCCAAACCAGGGGAATTATTCCAAATCCTGAAGAATTTTACAAGTCAAACACAACACCTTGACCACAAATGCCTTCACCTCAATTTAATGTCACTGCAGAGGGGTTTGCACTGGGGAGCAACTCTTTAGAAGAGGGGAAATGTTCCAGTAGCCTGGAACTGTAGTTCTTAAGAGAAACTTGTTTCTTTGGGGCAGTGTCCTGTGACCAACCAGGTCAGTGTTATGCTTATAAGTCCAGCAGGCAGTAGTTTTTGTTCATACTGATCCTTTGGGTAGTCTGAATTGTCCTGTGAGCAGATCCAGTGCTCTCTAGTTCTGATCCCAGGTGCTTTTGGGGTGTCTGTGATGAGACTACATCATTAATTGGTTCAGTGATGCTGGAATCCTCACTTTCCAAACCACCACAAAACCACCTCTCAGAGTAGAAGATCCTGAAGGCAACATGTGCCAATGCAGGGTGGAGATTCTCTTTGACACTTGGCCTTGCAGGAAAGCAAGGAGAGAGTGCTGAGAAGGCTTTGGTTTCTAAAGCCCTGTGGATTTTAGGGAAGCTCTGAGCACCTGAGGATTCCTCAAAGCTCATCTTTGTTTCTACACCCTGCCAGGAAAGTATTCTGAAACTTTTCAAAGCAAAG